TTCCCTGACTCTCAGGATGATCGTGTCCTTCAAATGACATCATACCACTCTTGGAGGTTTGGGGACGTCCCAAACGGAACTGCGGTCCGGGAGTGACTCGGAGATTAAAGCCTTTCACATCGGAGACAGTTACATTCAATTTCAAGAGTCACGCCCAGGGGAAGGGCCTATCGACCTAGAATATCGGACCACAACACGAGAGCGGAAATTAGGCTAATATGCGACATAGCAGTGACACAAAAACGCGTTACTCCTGTATCAAGTATCACTTGTTGTCCAGCTAACGGCCTTTTGCGCTTTGTACATTTTTGACGATGATGCAATGCGAATGTACTTATTTTGCATAGCCTTGCGAGTTGCATATACTAAGAGGATATAAAAGAGGTATTTACGGTATCTTGCAGATGCATCATAAATCTTCAGTACGAATACGGGATCACTGACTTTGATTAGTCCCGGATCACTACGTTGTATCGGTCCGAGTTGCGAGGGCTAGAGCATCAGTACCTTGCATACCAATGAACCGCCAATGGAGTCTGAGGAAATGAGCGATTTATTAATGAATGGAGAATGAAGGACGTAAAGTTCACCTGCCATTGCGCTGGACCGTCGAAACGATGAATAGCATAGTCTAAGAATGTTTGGATAACGTATGCTTCGAACCCGAAGAGAATTCAGTGCTATGATAGCGGCCGTAGTAAGTACTATCCGTGCGTCATAGTTTTCGGATCGGATGCGGAAGATTTAGGCATGAGACGGCGAACTACCAGCCTTCCGGAGAGTGCTAGAGCAAGTGTTAAAAAGCACAATTGCATTAGAAGCTGAATCCACAGTATGAGGTCCTATGATCTGGCGAGACTGATCACCGTTGAAGCAACAAGTATTCAATGCCATCTTATAACAGGAGTAAAAAATTCCTCGGCTCAGGTACATAGAATAACACTGTAGAATCATCGCCGCTTCCGTCGGTGAGTTCCATACATATGTACACGTTCCCCGACCAACGGATACTATCAAATACATGCGAACTTGAAATATGGATGCAGGCGCATGAAATCATCTTCGAGCATTGGACAACTCCCCAGTATCCCAGAAGAATAAAAGATAACAAGCAGAGCGCATTAAATGAGTCGACGCAAAGGATAAAATAAATTTACGTCTGCACATGTCTAAATTTCTATTGTGTGCAATGGAATTGTCTTCAGAAAAGGTTTGGTGAAACCACGAGTAAATCTATAAGGCAGTCGCTGCGACGAAAAAGTATCAGTCAGAGTGCGAAAAACGCTGTGAATATGATACTAGCAATGGTACACCACCTATGATCACCGTGTCATTTGACTCACCATCACAAGCGAGATCTGTGAATTATGAATGTGGGAATGACGCACGTTAATAAAATCCCCGAGGAAGAGGTGGTATAGAGTCTAACATGATACTCTCTTCGGATTGCGACTCGTACATGAGGATTCATCATGTGGATACCATAGAGTATTGATCGGTCTTTTGAATATCGCGTTAGTAGTGATGGAAGGATAAATGTAGAGTGCACAGAATAACTCGGTATTGTCACGGAATATATCTGGAATTGACCGAATAAGACAGAATTTGGCTCAGATAATAATGAACTTAGGGAATATATGAATAAGTAACATGAAAGGGACAGATTTGTTGATACAGAGGGGCGATCCGAGTTCCTTGGGAGAACAATGTATACTTGCACTGCACCAAGGGAACCGTTGAAATATGACTGGGGAAATAGATATATTATTGACCTCCCGAAGAAGGGATACGGCGATCCCTAATACCGTTACTATCTTCTCCGCGGAGGTAGAGGGAGAGGCTTGAGAGGAAATCGCATCGATTCATCCAAAATTTTAAGTCAAATTTTAAGATATCCCGTAGTGTTAATGAAGGAGAACTTAAATCGAAGTGGATGTAACTACTCACCACGCAGGAAAATAGAGCAAGCTTGAGATAGTCACATGACGACGTGAATCGAGCGCTGGAAATGTGTGAGTTAAGTAATCGGCAATTACTTCGGGAATCGAAACGCGCTTTTCTCTTTCCGCGACTCTCAAAATGCTCGTGTGACTTCATTCCACTTGGAACGTTTCCAGCTAAAATGAGACCCGGGAAGGACTCGTGAGTCTGAGATTACTGACATCAGAGAGAGTTGCATTCACTTCAAGTCACGTCTAAGAATTCAACTTAGAACATCGGAACACGGTGCGAGAGAAAAAGTCAGCTATAGGAATGAATGCAGCATCCAAGTGACGCTAAAACGCGACGTTCCTATGACAGTACTCTTTGTTGTCCAGACGACGACACTCCAACGATGATGCAATGTAAGTACCTGTTTTGCATAGCCTCAGTGAGTTGCGTGAACCGAAATGATATGAGACAGAGATTTACGGTATCGTCATGGATCCCAGCTGCGGATAGAGACGAATACAGTGCCACTAACTTTGATTAGTCCCGGATTAGTCCGAGCTGCGAGGGCTAGAGCATCGGCACCCTGCGTACTAATGAGCTGCTATTAGTGTCTGAAGAAATGAGCGATTTTAATGCATTGAGGATAAAGGTTGTACAACTGCGCTGAGTGGACAAGGACCCTTCCGCCTAGTCACTAATAAATGATGTACGCTCAAGGCTTGAAAGAGGCAAGGAGAGCTCAGTAATCAATTTTGATAGCTGCCGTATAGTAGGTAATATCATGCGCCATAAGATTCCGATTCGGATGCAGAAGATGTAGGCAAGAGACGGCTATCCAATAGCCTGGCGGAAAGTACTACGTCCAAGAGTACAGCGGCATTAAAGGCGCAATGCGCAGCAGAGAAGTCCCATGATAAGGCGGGATTGATCATGTGCCAAGCGAGATTTGCCGCGTCATTAATCAGCGTTGGAGCAACAAGTATTCAATCTCGTCTGGTGACAAGGGAAAGAAAACGCCTCAGCTCAGGGCTACGGAATATCGTTGTATAAGGATCTCCGCTTGCAGTCCGTGGTTTTCAGACGTACGTACATATTCCGGACTAGCAAGCAGTCCCCAAATTTTCCATTTGAAGCATGGCATGGGCGCTAGAATAACCGGCGAATAGACGCGTTATGGCAGTGTTGGTGCACTAGTACTAGGCTGGAGAATCCCTCCTCAAGAGTCAGATAATTCGTCGTAGTCTCCCAGAAGAGTACCAGGGAGAGTCGCAGGAATAACCCATGCGAAGCGTAAATCCAATCTGCTTTCATAGATAGGCATGACAACGAAGTTGTCACAGACACCTTTAAATCTGCACCGTGGACGTACAAAAATAACTTTACCTGTACACGAAAAAAACTCAGAGGCTAGACCTGCTCTTACGTTTCGTTAGAGTTGGTAGGTGGAGTACTAAGGACCAACTAACCTTTATCTAAATCGAACGTCTGGGGATGCAGTCTGATGTGTGAAGATATCAAAAATAAAACTTGGACAGTCACAAAAGAGCCTCGTTTAACATCATACCTAGCCTGCTTGGAACGGTGATATTTTTCGAGTGTTCGAAATCAAGATGGGCAGTGCTGTTAGGGTGAATGAGTCCGTAGGCGGAGGATACAAATCCAATGTGCAGGTAGACGTCGACAGATTCATGGCAAATGAAACCTCTATTATTAGTAGTGTAGCTAACGGAAGTCTCGTTTGTCAGCAAGGAGACCGCCATTCCTGATAAATTACTAAATACCGAGTACAAGTTGATGATTCGGGACTAGGCGACTCGGTAAACCATAAATATACAGGTGGATGAAAAAAGGCATAGATGCGCATTATCAAATCGGAAGGACAAAGTATTAACAACCAGGTATTTCAAAGCCGGAAGTTCCTGCGTGAGGTCGGAGGCATTGTTGAAAAATCAATCGACGGACGCAAGTAATAGACAACGTTCTATTGGTATGCAGTTTTCATTGGAGTAAAGCTGGAATGCGAGATGACATTGAATCATTCAGGCGGTTGTTTTCTCTAGGTTCGGTGGTGACCTCTACGCAGCGAGGAAAACAAATAGTAAATAATGTCTTATGACCGGTTGTCTGTTGTCCCCGAGCTCCTAGAATACCCAGGTATATAGGAGCATCTTGTACTCGAGAGGACTTGGTCGGAAACACGATCCGCATGATCACATCTCGAGTTCAAATCCTCTCGCAATGATCAATACGATGCATGCATCATACACAAGACCAACGTGCCAAGCATCACGAGATACCATTGATACAAACCCTACCCACTGTCCGGCACATGTATCATGTGGTATAGCAAAACCACCCCCCTGGGGAAGGGTCAGTAACTTACCCCCCGGAGATTTCGTGCGCAACCCTAGTGTATACAAAACTCCGGGATTTGGATACAGTGACCATAGATGTTACCCTTGTGTTAAGAATGTGGCTAATTCTTCGAAGTACGATTCAGTAGTACTTAATCAAAGTTTGAGCCGAGAGCGAGTGTAGAGTATTAATGAGTCCAATTTTACCAAGAAGGCTCCAACCGAGAGTTTAGCAAGCGCTAGGCGTAGCTAAGAAGATCCGAAAAGCGCTTGGCGTAGTCGGTAAGCGAGTCGTTCGGCAAGCGCTTGGCGTAACCGACCTCTTTCACTTAGGTTCACACTAGGTTGTGGAGTCAAGAAGGTAAGATTAAGATGCCCCAGGGCGTACTACGATACTCAATATATATATTGTACGAAGTGAAGATTCTGGAAGAGGACGGTCAAGAGAATCTACTAGAAGAGTATCGAAAGAAATGAAAAAGAAAAGGAGAGAAAACCGAAGAAAATTCTATAATATTCGCGATGATTAGCGCAGTAAGTGGTCGGTGACTGTTGACTAATATTACCGAACTGACATTCATAACACCTTGAGAACTTCACACATCCTCCGAGGGAAGAATACCATGATGACCCAAGACTCAGTGGACCGAGCCTCTCTGGTTGTGCACAAAACTCTGTGATTGTAACCAAAAACTGTAACGAACTCTCTTTTAGTGGCCAACGTGGGGATCGAACCCAAGACCTTCGCGTTAATAGTCTATGGCATCATGACGATATTAGCACGACGCTCTAACCAACCGAGCTAGTCGGCCACATCCCCTGATTTGACTCGTCTCCTGATGAAGGGGGGTGATGCTTTCGTATCCCGGGTCCATCCCGAAGGAGACTTGACCCCGTGAAAGAAGTGCGAGCTCTAGAATCCTCCCTGCCGCTGCTCACCATTCACAGGTTTGTTCTCGGTCGTTCCATCTCATGGGTATAAAGTCTGCGGTGTTGACTGGGGAGGGGTATGTATTCATCTATTCGCATCCATCAACACTACGCCAAGAGTACGACGCGTCCACCGCTTCTCTGATATGCAGGATATACCCTGACGTGCCCGTTCGATCAGCTTCACGCTCGATCCCCCACCCCACCCTATGTCGGAGATAACGCGTAGCATCTGGACCGTCGTGCTCATCGCTACGGGCGAGGGGAAGAAACAGCGCTAGCGCTGAGGTTCGTGTGGTTAGCGTCAACTTGGCTCACTGCGTTAACGTCTACCTACTTTCAGTCCACTCCCGCGCGCTGGATTCTAAAATTACACCACTCTCCCTATTCCTTGCAAAACCGGTCAATTATTTATTCATCCACACAAAGACCCGGGCCCGGTTCCCCCACTCATCCAAACTGGTATGTACACACTTCCCCGCTTTCTGGTCTCGCGCTGGGTCTGACGAACTCCGTTAGTACCACTACCTATCCTGATATCCAAAAGCAAATGTTATGTACAATTACGCGTGTGTTTTCTGTATGATTACCAAATAGCATCTCATCTCTTGAATGGAAATAAGTCTTCGCACGCATGTCTTTACATATCCTTCTGCGCCAACGTTACGTGTACCCAGGCGAACACAACTACGCGCGTTTCTGTATGATTACGAATTAGCGATAGCATCCTTTCCGCCACTTGAATAAGTCTGTGTGTGTTGTTGCGTCGGATGAAAGCGGGTTGCCTTCTGAACCGCCGTTACGTGCAAGACAATAGCACGCCAGTCTTTACCAATTGAATAAGTCTTGCTACGCGGGAGGAAAGCGGGTTATCTTTTCGCCGTTACGATATGCAATGCACCCAGTTCGAGACAACTATGCGCATGCTCCTGTCACTAATAGCATCCATTCCATTGCTCGAACAAGTCTGCGCCAAGTCCGTAACGTATCGCATTACGTCCGAAGAAACCGGGTAACCCTTTCCACCTGTGCGCCCAGGCAAGATAAATTACCAATGAACGTAAGACGCGATCTTGGCGCAATCTCGAACGACACTACAATCTCGAACAGTACACCGCGCTCCAACGCCACCCGATATCGGGATCCGGCGATATATGTATATTAATACAGCCTCGAATAACGAAGAACAACCGAGCCCTAGTACGCATTACCGATAAGATATACCCATACCTATACTATACGAAAATGTTCGAATGAATATAGTATTGACGCGTGATAAGAAGATAAAAAAACCTAAAAAAATAAAGTGTTGCGTTATGAATGTCGATGGCGATGATGATGGTGATGATGATGAGGCCGTTGTTCCCGCTGGTAGTCATACCCGGGTGCGACGGTGACGGGTGTAGGAGTGCGATGCCCCCCTTGGAACACCCTCTGCAGGAACGAAGGATGTCGATGCGGAGGAGGCGGCGTATCGGAATCCGTCGACGAAGATGTGGAAAACACGACCGGCTGAAGCCCGTCTGCGTCAGAAACCGCGAGAAACGAAATGCGGAAGGGAAGGACGAACCACGACTCTAGATGATGACCTGCCTCCTTTTTGTTGTGGTGGAACAATCACGTATCCTCCTGGTGGCGGCGCGTATGCGCCGCGGTAATACTGCGGTGGAGGCGCGGGTGGATTGGGATACGGTGTTGGGTAATATGGGTTGTGATTAGTATACCCGGGGTAATACGGCGGTGGAGGCGGTGGTGGTGGTGTAGGCGTAGGTGAGACGTAGTAAGTCTGGCTGGGACGGTGCTTTGATTGGGAGCGGCGAGTGGAGGAGTGACGTGTGGTGGTGGGTGGTGGTGCGGGGCCGTGTAATGGTATTGCTGGCTGGTGATGACGAGAAGCAGAGGGAGGGGGGGGCAGGACCATGGTTGTGTGGCGGCATGGGTCCTGGGACAGGAGCGTACAAGTTCATCGGAGGCGGGGGCGGGGGAGGTACTCGCTGGGAGATCCCCCGGGTGAGAACGGCCTGATGTGGCCCGGGAGCATCATCATCCCCCATATCCGAGCGAGGACCAAAGGGCGACCTGTACTCGGAAGCATGAGCTTGAGCATCGTCGACCCAGCGAGAAATCCGCCGCATGGTCGCTTGGTAGCGCTCCGCTGCTTCAGGAGAGTAGTCGTATTCCGTCATTGTCGTCACAGAAAAGAGTGTGTGAGGCAAGGGGACAATAAGAATAAGTCTAGGAGAAAGAGAGGAAGGAATTATATATCAGATTCGGAGCGGAGAGGGAGAAAGTCAAGGTTGCGTGGAAACAATTGCCTGGCGGCCCATGGCGGTTCGGTTCAAGTGCGATCTCGGCTGTGACGCTGCCTTATCTACGCGGCACGTGTCCGGCATGTGTCTCTCCGTGGAAGGGAAGCAGATTAGATTTTAGATTTAAGACTCCGCAGTTCTTTCGTGTGCTAGTGAACTGCCTCTCAAGGACTACAGCCAGTAACTAACTAACAGCTAAGCCCTCGCAAGGATGGTTCAGCTCGGCCGGCGCCGGTATCACATGCGATGTCTCCAAATTTATTCTCATTCAGTTGGTACTTGAGCTCTCCGTCGGACGGAGCTGTATTGTATTCACTTACGAAAACCACCGACATCGTTTGCTGTTTACGGCGAGTGCCGCCTATTATAGGACTTACCACACCACTCTGGGCCTAGTATATTCCGCCGACATCTAACCTTAGATCGCCGTGTCAAGCCAAGGATAGAAAGCGTCACACACCTGTAGTATGTACGTTATCGAGCCTAATCGTCCCTGACTCTGGGGTAAACGAGTGCTTGCTTCTCTTCCTTAATTAATCTCGCTGCTTTCTTTCTTGCTCGACTTGACGCCTAAGGTATGGTGACCGTGTTCCCTCGTGCACGGATCTTGCTCTTTCTTGTAACCCGCGTGTGATACGGCTTTTGTCATACGACGTGTTATTGTATTCTCAAGTCTCCGAGAGCGGATTCCGATGACGCAAACATAATACGGCACCCATCACCACCCACACTTTCTTTTGTCTGGATGCTCACAACGCTGACGTCCTCTATGATGAGCAGCAAAAATAAATACCCACTCCGGTCCGACAAGGGGTAACGTTAGTGATCATTGGGGAAACAAGCATCTGTAGGGTTTTCATCTTCCTTTCATTAATTTCGCTCAGTTCTTGCAGCCCCTTGCGACCCGGACCGGTACTAACCCGCGAGTCAAAGATCACGACTCATCCGCATACGTCTGTGTGTAAATACATCGTTCTATTTTTTCAGCTTTTCGACCCGGGGAGTCATTGCCGTATTGTGATCCTGATATCACCGTCTCAGCCCGGCCCGAACGAGCCTGGCATACAGGCGCCTCTGCGTGAGTATCAACCCCCACGTACCGTACAGACAAGCGCTCGTATGCCTTCCTTCTTCTATCCTTCAACATGGCTCAATTCAATTGTTCAGGTCCCATAGCGACTCGGTCTCAGTTATCAGCGCCTACGTCAACACTGATGACGCTCGAATCATCCTGTCTGACCATTGATTGATTCAACTCTCGTATCTGTTATGACTCATAGTAATCATCCTTCAGCAAACAAAGCACTCGCTATACCCCCGACTAGGTAAGTCCTGTTCATCCGACCCCTCCATTCACAACACCCTCTCAGCTTCAGATATCCAACAGCCAACACCGCTTTCGTAATAATAAGCGCTTGTATGTCTTCCATCTTCCATTTCAAGCCAACCGGACTCGACGCTCTATCCGTACCACGCGAAAAGCCATGACTAGGACTTCCGGTTCTTGGTTATCTGTTATGTGTCATGTTAATCATTCGAGTCCTCCTCAAAGTTCCAGGCCTCGCTCGCTCTCTCGGGCACTCATCATATCCCCGAAGGAGTAAGTGATTCGTCTTACAGCTCACAGCAAGCCCACCCTCCCAGCTTCATAGCACACTGTGGTAACTCGACAGCCATCATCGCCTCTGTATGTTCCCTGCACCGCTTTCTTTCATCGTGCTTCTTCAAGTTCTCTGCAGTTATGATTGAGAAGAGAGAAGACGTACACAGGAATCTGCGCACACCTGAGAAGTTCGTTGCTCCACTTCTCCCTTCTCTATCAGCCCCCACGTACCGTAGAAACAAGCGCTCGTATGTCTTTTGTCTTCCATTTGTTGTTCACATCTCTCAATTAGGTCCCATTGCGACTCGGGCTCAGTTTCCAGCGCCTAATTATATGTTCTAGTCAATGCTCGAAGTATCCTGCCTGACGGCGCGGTGCACCATTGACTGATTCGACTCTCGTATCCGTTATGACTCATGTTAATCATCCTTCGCAGCGAACAATTATCTCCGGTCCAAAATTCCAGGCCTCGCTCTCTCTCTTGGGGACTCATCATATCCCCGAAGGAGTAAGTGATTCGTCTTACAGCTCACAGCAAGTACCTGTTACGACCCTCCCAGCTTCATAGCACGCTGTGATAACTCGACAGCCAGCACCGCCTCTGTATGTTCGCTGCACCGCTTTGCTCAATAAAGTACTTCTTCAAGTTCTTCCATCCCCACCCTCTCAGCTTCATAGCACGTTGTGATAACTCGACAGCCAACACCGCTTTCGTGCGTATGTTCACTGCACCGCTTTGCTCAATAAGGTGCTTCTTCTCCGCAGTTACGATTGAGAACATCCGACCCTCTTCACAACAAGTACCTACTATGACAGTCAGCTTCATAGCACGCTGTGATGCTCAACAGCCAACACCGCTTTCATACGTTAGATGCACTGCTTTTCTCTATCAGAGGTCATTAACGTTCTTCTTCGCAGCTACGATTGCGAAGAGAGAAGACGTACACAGGAATCTACACGCACCTGAGAA